TTTAAAAATGAAAAGATTTTAGAAAAAATGGAAAAAGAATTAAAAGAACTATGGGAAATAAATGAAAAAGGAGGTAGTAATACAAGTGTCATATGGGATAGAATGAAAGCAGTGGTAAGAGGGCTAGGAATAAAATTTTCATACAATTTAAAAAAACAAAAAGAGCAACATATAATGAGACTAGAGGAAGAAATTAAAGAATTAGAGAAAAGAATATATTAAAAATAGAGAAAACAAAATTGTTAGAATTAACAGCAAAAAGAAAAGAAATACAAAATACGGAATTAGAACAAGTTCAAAGAAATCTAATTTACTTGAAAAGGGAATTTTATGAAAATAGTAATAAAAATTCCAAAATGCTGGCCAGAGTCACACAAGTCAAAAAAGTACAAAATTTAATTGGAGTAATAAAGAACAAAAAAGGAGAAAGATGTAATAACATGAAAGAAAAACTCTTAATTTTCTGAAGGTTTTGTGACAAATTATGTAAGGGAAATGAAATAGATTTGAAAGAAAGCCAAAAATATATAGAAAAGAAAGTAATGTGTAAAATTTGAGGATAAAAAAATTATGGAAACTCAAATAGAAGAAGAGATATTGTAAGTTATTATTAAATTAAAAATAGGTAAAGCACCAGGATCTGATGGATTGAGTGCTGAATATTATAAAATTTTTAAAAAAATTATTAGTCCCTAAAATGAAAATGATGTTTAATAAAATATTTATTTACTTATTTTTTTGGAATTCTTATATCCCACCCCATTTGCATAAGCCTCAGGGTGGCTTCCAACAAATAAATATCAATACAATTACATAAAAAACTGGAAACATCTCCGGCATAATAATTTAAAACCAATAAATAAATCAACAATTAATTAAAATAATGTTTAAACAAAAAGGTCTTGGCCTGGCGCTGAAAAACAAATAACAATGGCACCAGGCGGACCTCTCTGGGGAGCGCATTCCACAGATGGGGCGCCACCACAGAGAAGACCCTCCTCCGAGTACTCACCCTCCTAATATCTTTCACGGAGGGTTCCCAGAGGAGGGCCTCTGCTGCTGATCTCAAGGGGCGGGAGGGCAGATATGGACGCAAGCGTTCCTTTAGGTAACCAGGTCCCAAGCCGTTTAGGGCTTTATAGGTAATGACCAGCACCTTGAATTTGGCCTGGACTTCGATGGGGAGCCAGTGAAGCTGACGGAGGACTGGGGTTATATGAGAGTAATGCCCAGTCCCCGTCAGCAACCTTGCAGCTCTATTTTGCACCATCTGAAGTATCTGGACCGTCTTCAAGGGCAGCCCCACGTACAGCGCATTACAGAATTAATCAGGAAGTAACCAATGCATGTGTCACTGTCGCCAGGCAGTCGTTCTCCAGGTAGGGACACAGCTGATGGATCAGCCGAAGCTGAAGGAAAGCGCTCCTCACCACCACTGTCACCTGAGCTTCCAGTGAAAGCTCAGGGTCGAGAAGCACTCCCAAGCTGCGGACCTTGTCCCTAAGAGGGAGTGCAACCCCATTCAGGACAAGGTCCAGGTCCCCCACCCCAGAGCTCGAACCACCTACCAACAGGACCTCCAGCTTGTCTGGATTGAGCTTCAGTTTGTTGGCCCTCATCCAGCCCATTACCTCGGCCAGGCACCGGTTCAGTACAGCCACTGCCTCACCTGGATCAGTTGAGAAAGAGAGGTAGAGCTGGGTATCATCAGCGTATTGATGATTCCGCAGCCCACACCTCCTGATGACCTCTCCCAGCGGTTTCATATAGATGTTAAATAGCAGAGGAGATAGAATGGAGCCCTGTGGTACCCCATGGCATAGCTGCCATGGCGCAGAGCCACAGTCCCCCAGCACCACCTTCTGGAAACGGTCATTGAGATAGGAGCAGAACCACTGCAAAGCAGTGTCTCCAACCCCCAGTCCCGCTAGCCTATCCAGGAGGATACCATGGCCGATGGTATCAAAAGCCGCTGAGAGGTCCAGGAGGACCAACAGGGACACACTCCCCCTGTCTCTTTCTCTGCACAGGTCATCATACAGGGCGACCAAGGCAGATTCAGTACTGTACCTGGGTCTGAAGCCGGACTGAAATGAGTCCAGATAATCAGTCTCATCCAAGAGTGCCTGGAGTTGTCCTGCCACCACTTGCTCTAACACCATCCCCAAGAAAGGGATTTTGGCCACCGGTCTATAATTGGCGGCCATCTCTGGATCCAGGGATGCCTTCTTTAGAACTGGCTGGACTACCGCCTCCTTTAAAGGGGCAGGCACCCTCCAAGATCCAGGCCCCTATTCTGTGCTTGGCTTGTTAAGTAGCCAAGATGGGCAAGGATCCAGCAAGCAGCTGGTGGGACGTACTTGTCCAAGCACCTTGTCCACATCATCAGGCCACAATAACTGAAACTCATCCAACAATTTAGGACCAGACGGCAACATTGGCACCTCCTGTGAAGGCTCTGAGTCACTAGTGGAGTCCAGCATGTGACGAATCTGAGCGATTTTCTCCTTAAAATGCTTGGCAAAGTTGTCACAGTGGGCCTTCGTGGGTGGAACCGGATCTTTCTTAGGGCCAGGATGAACCAGCCCTTGTACCACCCAAAAAAGCTCCACCAGACGGCATTGTGAGGAGGCAATGGAAACGGAGAATTTCTTCTTCGCCGCCCTCACCGCCACAGCATAGGCCCGATAATAGGCTCTTAAGTGTGTTCGGTCAGATTCACCCTGTGATTTCTTCCACCTACGCTCTAGACGTCTCCCGGCCTGCTTCATCGCCCGCAATTCAGGTGTATACCAAGGGGAAGAGTGGGCTCTGCCTGGTGGGAGAGGACGCTTAGGAGGGATCGTATCAATAGCCCTGGTCATTTCCCCTTTCCATTGAAAAACTAAATTAAAAAATAACCATATATATAGATGGGAAGACTGGAAAAACAAGATAAAAAATCTATTACAATTAAGGAGAATATTGCCAGAGGTTAATTAAATTGGTTAAATTTAATTCAATTAGAAAAATGGATAAAGATGGAGGATAAATTTAAAGAGGAAGAAAGGCAATTAACAAAATTTGAAATGATCATAAAAGAATGTAAGCCTGAGGAAGAATATGCAAGTAAAGGAAGAATTGCCAAAATCTATCGGATATTAATGGAGTTAGGGGATCAGACAAAAAGTTTAAAATCAATTTGGGAAATGGATATAGGTGAAATAAAAGACATGGATTGGAAGAATATTTGGAACAGAAGAGTATATAAGAATATGTCAGTTAGAATTAAAGAGCATGGATATAAGGTGATATAGAGATGGTATTTTAACACCAGTTAAGTTAAATTAAATTGATGACAAATAGTCTAATATATGTTGGAGATATGGTAAAGAGATCGGAACTTATAAACATACGTGGTGGGATTGTGAAAACATACAAAAGATTTGGATTATGGTATTTAAGGAAATTAGAGAAATTTTAGATAAAGACTTAGAAATGTCACCAAGAATTGTGTTATTATTGTTGATAGAAAAACAAGATATAAATGAAGCTAAGAAATAATTGATTGTAAGTTTGATAATGGCAGTTAGGCTAGTGATAGTTAAAGATTGGAAGCAGAACTGGGTTTTGCAAAGGCATGAATGGTAAAATGAAATATGGAACATGGTAATTAATGATTAACTGACGACAGAAATAAAAATTAAAAGAAAGCAAATAAATACAATGAAATATGTGAAGATTTTGTAAAAGCAGTACTGATAGAAGGCAAAGGCTGTATACCCAGTCAAGATTATATGAACTTCTGCAGGGGATATGGAAATAATTGAAGTATATTATATATTATTAATTGTTATGGTATGTGAATGGTGGTAGCATTGGTCTCCGGGGTGGTGGGGGCACTTTATCACTTTCTCTTTATTATTGTGTTTATGTTGTTATATCATTACTGCTGTGATGTCTTGTAATTTTTTTTGTCAAAAAAAAGAAAAAAAATGGGGGGGGGCTCGCTAGAGCATCTCCAAAGGACCTTTTCCCCATCCTCGTGAGGTGCAACCCGTCCCTTGCCGGAAGTCCATTGGCAAGAAACCGAGTGCCGTGGTCGAGGAACCCGAAGCGTTCCTTCTGGCTCCGCACCCAGGGGCGCAGACAAGGGACGACACCTTATAAGCCTCCCTCAGCCCTCTCCCCCAGCCTCTGCCTCCGCTGCTCTGCCAAGAGGCCCGAGCCCAAGGGGCGGGCAGTGGCTGAGCGTGGCCCTATATGCCTCTCAGGCCGCTGCCCCGCCCTCTGCTCCCTCCTGGCTCCTCTGGCCCCCCCCCTTCCCCGCCCCCCCCCCAGCCCCCCCCCCCCCCCCCCCTCCCCAGCCCCTGCCTTGCCTTCCCCGGTCCCTGGCCACCCTCAGCCCTCTCCCCCAGCCTCTGCCTCCGCTGCTCTGCCAAGAGGCCCGAGCCCAAGGGGCAGGCAGTGGCTGAGCGTGGCCCTATATGCCTCTCAGGCCTCTGGCCCCGCCCTCTGCTCCCTCCTGGCCCCTCTGGCCCCACCCCCTTCCTCCCCCCCGCCCCCCCCCCCCCCCACTCCCCTGCCCAGCTCCTGCCTTGCCTTCCCTGGTCCCTGGCCACCCTCATCCCTCTCCCCCGCCAAGAGGCCAGAGCCAAAAGCCATCAGGTCCCACTTCTTAAAGTAACAGCAAATGCTAAACAGTAACCTGGCTTGGAATTGGGGTGCTTTCTGAAAAAGGAGTGCAGGTTTGATTTTAGAACACAAAGCACATATAAGCAACGTTTTTCTAGCAGGATTTATCTGCATTTTCCCAAGAATGGGGAGCTTGCAAAGCCAGGAAACCAGCAAATAATCCACTGTTGGAGGAAAGGGTGCTTGGCCATCCATAGGGGGCACGGCCCTCCACAGAGCTGAGGCTCTGCGCCCCACTTTCTGCCCTCCATCCACCACCGGATCTGGTCCCCACAAGCAAGCTCCATGGTCTTACCGCTTGCTCCTGCTCGCTTTCCCCCTCCCAGGTCGTGGTTTCGCGGGTGGCCCGCGTGTGTAAGAACGACATGGGCGGCTCGCAGCGGGTGCTGGAGAAGCAATGGACCTCCTTCCTCAAGGCCCGCCTCAACTGCTCGGTGCCGGGCGACTCGCACTTCTACTTCAACGTCATCCAGTCGGTGACGGACATCCTGGAGATTGACGGGAGGCCCATGGTGCTGGCCGTCTTCTCCACACCCGCTAACAGGTTAGCCAGGACTGGGCGAGGCGGGGACGGCCTTACGCCAGGCTTGCTCCAGGACTCAGCCTCGCGAGAAGGGATCCTTTGCATAATACTTTTAGACACATTTAATAAATAAAAAATACGGGAAGAGTGCTTCTGAGTATGTGCAAAGTGCCTCCTTCACAGAAGTTGCTTCTCTGGGATATGCAGCATCCAAACTGAAAGAGGGACTGGGCAGCATGCGCAGAGGCCTCCCCGAAGATTGTGGAGTCCCTCGCACCTCTGACATTCTGGGGAGGAGCTTAAAGGATAAGAGAGCCCCTGAGCACGTGCAGAGTTTTTCTTACCTAGGCCTCGACCAGAAATAGTCTCATAGACTGGGATTTATGGGAGAGGATTTTCTGAGCAGAAGACTGGCCAAAATTACTTGAGGAAGGGCAACAGCTGTGTGGGGAGAGCCCCTCTTTTTCATGCCAGGGGCTCCAGGTCAACCCCCAGCTTCTTCTGGAACTGGAAACCTCGAAGGGCTCAGAACAGTCGCTGTGAGTAGCAGCAAGCAATTAAGCTTAGACACAAAAGAGCCTCCCGCCTCCCTCTTCTCTGGTTCTGGAAAGAAGCGTAAATCATAACAGGTTATCGTCATTAATTCATTATTATTCCTAAATAATTAATCTTTATTATTAATAAGTCTTCATAGAACTTTGGAACATTCACAGCTTTTCACGACCATAACCTGCAAGCAGTGTGCTGGTTTAGAGTCGTTTTATTTCTGTAAGTGTTGTCGTTACATGGCATTTATAACCCTCTTTCCCTCCTGTGAGGAACCTGAGCCAGCCTAGAGACGTAAGGCAGGTTGGGCTGAGAGCCTGAGATGGGCCCCCAATCACCCAGTGAGCTCCATGGCCCAGTGGGGACCACAGCCCGGTTCTCCCAGGTCCCCAGTTCAAGTGGGATGTGTGGGGAATTTGTCTGGGGGCAGGAATCCTGGGTGACTTTGGGCCAGCCACACAAACTCTCAGCCCAGCCTACCTCACAGGGTTGATGTTGTGGGGATAAGATGAAGAGCAGGAGGATGAGAAGGATATAAGATCCTCTGAGTTCTTCGTAGGAAAAAAGTCAGGGAAAGAATCAAATGAATGAATGAATGGGGGATCTCACTAGAACCCATAGAATAGCCCTGTGCATGCTCAGCCAGCTTTGCTTCAAGCAAGAAGCCCCTTGGGTGCAGCCCACTGAGACAGAAAATGGCCTACAGTTCCCAGCAGGCGGCACCTTTTTTCTGTCTGGATGTGTTTGGAACTGCACCCTTAATGCACTTTCAGCTGACGCGAGTTAAGAACCACGAGCTTGTGTAACCACGATGCTTGCACAGTTTGGAAACCAACCGTGTGAGCAGTGGTGCAGCAGTCGAAGCCCATGACGCCTACACACCCCTACAAGAAAAGTCCAAAACATCCCACAGCAGTGTTGATCTGTACCCACAAACCAGTTCTGGCTGTCTCCTCAGTGAGCAAGTTTTGATCCTGAGCCAGTCCCAAAATATTCTGGCATTGCGGCCAGGAAGGCTTCTGGGCAAATCCTTTTTTGCAGCTCAGCCTGAGGACTCAGGGAAATCAAAGCAGTCAGCACTGCTTCCACCACTGTGATTTCCAGACTCCGCCATACCCCCATCTGGATTCTCCAATCTTCTCTGCTCCAAAGAGTAAGATCCTCTTACTTACCCTCTCGTTTTGCAGCATTCCCGGCTCGGCTGTCTGCGCCTTTGACATGGCCCAGATCGCCTCTGTCTTTGAAGGGCGCTTCCGGGAGCAGAAATCCCCCGAGTCCATTTGGACCCCAGTGCCGGAGGAGCTGGTGCCCAAGCCACGGTGAGTGAAAGCCAAGCCAGCCGGCTGTTGGGCTGAGAAAGCTAGTGTGGGTTGGCCACTGTGGGAAATGGACCGTCAGTCCACATGCGTCTTTGGCCTGATCCAGCTGGTCTGGCTTGCGCGAAGTCACGGAATGCCCACAAACACTGCAGTAGCTCCATCAGCAGGAAAGGGTTACCTAAACTGGCCACTGGGGGCAGGGGAGGATGGAAAGCTAGATACTCCACTCCACTGAGGCCTTTCTCACCATTTCCAGTCCAGGACTTTCGGCCTGCTGTGGACAACTGAGGGGCTTCAGAGGTCATGCTCCATTCACATTTAAATAGCATGTATGTTTGGGGGGAGGGGGAGCGAGAGCAAACAGAACCCCCTCCCAAACACAGTCTTGCTGGAAAAGATCAGCATCTGAGGCCTTCCTCAGAAAGCCACCTCCGAGGGAGCAACAGAGGAGGGCCTTCTCTGTGGTAGCCCCCAAATTATGGAATGATCTCCCTGCCAAGGCCATCCTTTGGGGCCAAGCTAAGACCGCACTCTTTGCTGCGACATTGGCCAAGTCCAAACAGCACATGCAGAGGGACAGGGGATCTTGGCAGTGGCTTTTAGCAGGCCTGTCAGTATAGACTGGCCTTAGTGGTTTTGGATTAATTCGTTAGTGTCAGTTTATTATTTTTTAATGTTACTTAGATTTTATATTGCACTTTATGGAATTCATTAATGTTTATGCACTGCTTTGGCTTTGGGCAGGATGGAAGTAAGACTAATATTGCTACTGAGAGGAGTATGCACTGCTCATGCCCAGAGCCCCCTCGGCATGATGTCCTGCCTGGGCATTAATGGAAACCTTAACTGCCCACTGGAGCTCACAGGGCCATTTTTATGGAGTGCAGTAAACACAGTATCATTTTGCTTTCGTCTTTGAAGAACGTTCTGATGGGAACTTTCCAATGAGGGGAAGCCGACATGCCTCAAAGCAAGATCCCAGCCAAAGTGTGTGATAGACAATCCAGCCAGCACCTCGGGGGTAATCAAAGGTTCTAGCCCTGGGGTCCTCAAACTTTTTAAACAGGGGGCCACTGCATCGTCCCTCAGACTGTTGGGGGGCTGGACTATAGTTTGAAAGAAAGATGAATGAATTAAAATATTTTTAAAAGTTAATTTAAAAATGTTTAAAAATTAAAATTAAAATTAAAAATTAATAAAAATTAAAAATGTTTGCTCCACTCCCTCGGGCTGCAGCAGAAGCCCAAGATGAGGGGGGAAGAGCATGTCCTTATTCAAGGGACAGAGCTACAACACAACCAAATAGAATATTTTGCATAATGCAGCTGAGGACTGCAACTGGCATTTACGAAGAATGAAGCAAAAACACTAAGGACAAATACTGTCAATGCCACTCTTAAAGTCAGCCCAGAACAATTCCCTAATACACAATGGCTGCATTTGGATGCAGAGCTAATGACTACCATATTTTAAGTGCAACCTTGCCAAAACTGGCACTGCCCAGAGGA